GATGAAGGTGGTTTGACAGTTGCATAAGACAGCGTATTTTCAAAGCACATAAAAGACAATGTAACAGATTACATAAAAAAACAAGCTGCCTCTAACATCTAATCAAAGATCGCAGATTATGTCCGACATTTTTAACGACAATGGCATAGCAACAGCTGATGACACCATAGATTTCGACACCAAGTCCAATGAACTTTGTAACAGCTTTCCGTGTTTTGCCAATTATTATGAGATAAGACTTAAAAACCGCTTGTTCAATTATGTTATGGTCAACGTCACCGGCCAAGGACAGCTGCAGTGAGGACAAAACCAAAATTTTAAATGTTATTGTTAAATCATATGTATTTATTTATCATGTTTGTTTTATCTTAATAAATCATAATTGGAAATATAAAGTTTTGACTTTTTTGTTATAATGCAAGTATTCTTATACTTCACTTAAAAATATTATCATACGTAAGAAAACAAAGTGATGATATATGAGACAACAAAAAACAACAACAACACATTGCTATCCTATATAATTTTCGAAGTTTTGGTAATGCTTTACCCTTGAAAAATTACAACAATAAAATATCAAGAATAATAATTGACATTTTTATCATTTATGTACAATATCTAAACTATTTAAAAATTCACATACACGAACTTTCACTTAACCCGGATATAAAGTCGGTTCCAAACCGATACCGGTGATAACTAAAAATCGTACATTATTAAAATCGCAATTTTTATTGAAATTGATTTTTTTTTTTTACATTTTTCTTCATGAATTATAATATTTTTATGTTTTTAAATGAATTTCAGGTCCTTTGTGCTCATATCAAACTCCTTTGTGGTCCTTTGTGCTCCTTTGTGCACAAAAGAGGTCCTTTGCGGTGTTTTTAGAGACCCGCATCACCCTGTGTTTATCTGCAGAGTTGAGTTAGATACATATATCTTTTATTCCTTACATAAAAGCACTTTAATAACAAGAGATAATTTGACTAAAACACTCTAGAGAACCATGTTTTCATCCTGTTCATCATTTAAGGCTTTTCTTGTCATGACTAATAATCTTTTAAAAGGTCATGCTCCCATGATGATTAAAAGAGTACTTTTATCATAAATACCTCTTATCTTAAGTGGATTCAGTTTAATTTTTCATCAACAAGACTCTGTTTACTTATAAATTGCACTATAAATAAATGTACTTTTTATCTTTATTTGGTATTAGCATGACTTGTGCATGATGCAGTCTAATTAATAATGTTTGCTATTTCAAAGAAGGAAGATAGACCATAAGACAAACAGCTGTGTGAATTTATTTTATTTTTGTAAAGAATACCCAGAAAGCATGACAGCTTCTAGACATAAGGCCAAATAAAATAATATGGTATAGTTATGTGGAATCCCTTAATATGACGTGTATGATACATATATATTGTCTCAAATACAGATAAAACATGGGGTCCTTGGTGGCTGAGTGGTCTGAGTAGTTCATCTACTATATCACTTGATTGTCTGTCATTAACACTAAGGATGTGAGTTCGAACCCCGCATGGGGCAGTTGTCAATGTCTAGTGGAAATAATATAATATTTAAATAAATAATATTCCAGGATAGGTTATTATTATATAGGAACTTCTATTCCATGACACAGGTGTGTTCTACTATCTAAATTGACTAGGATTGTAATTTTTCCTGCCGAAATGACAGTGGTTCTCTCCAGGGCAGACTGGCTTCCTCCACCAATTAAGACTGACCGTTGTGATACAGCAAATAGTGCTGAAAGTGGCGTTTAACACCAACAATCAAATCAGATACAAAATATACTTTCATTGCATTGAATGCATATGAATTGACAAGCTAGAAGTTTTGTACAGTCCCACTGTCGAAAGTGGAAATTAAAGATTCCCCCTTTCCTGTGCGTAGTGCTATTTCAATCAGTTTATTCAGTTACATATGATCGTAGCTGATTTTTTGCAGTAAAATTAAAATTTACATTCACTGCCAAGGGCAATATGCCCAAACCCAAAATATGGCATCTGCATAGTTTACATTCTCCGAGGATTTTATGTCAGGAAGAATAATAAAGCTAGTAGACAAAATCCAGACTATGTGAAATTTGACAGACAGCCCAACAGTCAATGACATTTTAGCCATGGATATATAGATTTTATAGATATGTACATAGTGTATACATGTATTGATCAGAGGACTTAGATACCATTGTTGTAAGGAAGAATGGTAAATTCGGTCAATTCATTCCAGTGGCAAATTGCCAAGTTTTACCTGAGACATGTGACATTCATTTTACCTGTTCTTATATATTACATGCATGGGTTTGTTTCTATTTTGGTTTATACAAACCTATACATTACAGATAGGTTTTGCATTTTCATTGTAAATTTATGGTCAAATGCACTCACAGATTAGACTTTTAATTTCAAAACTTAATCTTTTAAAAATAAATTGTGGTGCATACTTATATTGTGCACTTTCAGACCAAGCCAGTCTGCCTACAATGCTCAAAAGCATATTAAATGCAGACAGTTCATTGTTTTGTTAAATGACACTTGTAAACTGATACTTTAAAAAACAAACCTAAAAATGTAAACATAATGGTAACTCACTGAGGCAGAACAGGTAATGATAGCCATTAAGTATGTTGATGCATGGTTACCGTGGTTATAGACCATAACATAACCAAAACCTTAAATTTTGAGGCTATAATGTAAGGTAATTACACAACACAATATATTTATAAAATAAAATGTTACGATATTCATCAATATAGGACATATAAAGAAAGATCCAAGCTTTACATATTCTCAATATTTTTCTACTTTCAAAAGTTGTGAAAAAAATTGTTAGTTTACAGTATTTAAAAGGTCCATTCATAGTTCTCAAAAAAAATGTTTGAGATTTAAGCAGCTTTATGGTAAAAAGTAGACAGCCCACCACAAAATTATTTTATGCTACAATGAGGCTATGTAGACAGAAAAATCACTTTTTGTGGCACCTCATGAGAACCCTTCAGGCATTAATTTCTTAATTGCTGAATTTCAGAAAAGGATCTTTTATTTACTGCATGCATGCAGTCTGCTTTTTAATGAACCATGCAAAATACTAGATACAATGTAAGCACAAAAATACTATATATATATTTAAACATGGTTACATTCTGCGACAAAAAGATTCATCTGTATAAAAAATTATAAAGAATTCATCTGCATAAAAAATTACAAAGAATTTAAACTATGTTATAAAAATTTTATAGCGTATACAAAGAGTTGTAAATGCAGCTATTGCTATGGGGTAGGAATGAGAAAGGGCAATATACAGCTTGTATTGAATTTACACAGGTGTACAATATCATCATAAATAGCAATTATATTGTAAGGCAATTACATGACTAGGTAAAACTACAGGTCACAGGGTCAAGTAATACATAATACTGAGCCATCATGTAAAAATATTATATAACACCTGGAAAATGACCCAGCTGACCTTTCATACAGGTAATAAATTATTTACCTGAGGGCTGAGAATTTTGATCAGCACTGACTAGACCCCAGACCATCTATACATATTATCCCTCTAGATATTGGTAAATGTCCAAGCCATACATTAATATGTCAATATAACTTGTATAATCTTTCTCTCAATAATAGTTTATATAATCTGTAGGATGTTGTTAATGAAATGAAGGACTTGGTCAATATGCATTCCAAGCTGTCAATGAAATGTACACACATAGAGTTTTATTTGTTATTGTATATGTGAAAAGTTCATTTAGAGATCATGTTTTAAATGTTTGTCAACATGCTGAATCAAAGTAAAGATTTTTAACCTACTGAAAGCTTTATTTACACCATGTACAAACTGTTATTGGCAAATACAACTGAAGTATCATATTTTTAATATAGAAAAATGACCTTGGGAAATTTATGAATTGTTTAGTTTGTTTATACATGTAAGTTGGGGCTTAATGGAGCTGTAATGTACACAATGATTTTTAAAAATATAAAACCAGAGACTGTGACCTGACTGTATTTAAATTAGATAAAGAATCAGAAAAACCTGTGCACTGAGGCAGACATAGTGACTGTAATTTGTATTAGTGTAGGTTAATTGTGTACCAATCCAGAGTACTTGTTTTATTCATAATGTAAATGATTTATAACCAATCAAATTACACATATATGATTTAAGTTACAAATTTAAATATATTAAGATTTATTTCACCTGGTCAATGTAGATGATTCAATAATACAATCCTCCCATTTGGATTTGACACTGTTTTCGTTTGATATGGTAACCAATAAGTATGAGTGTAAATACCACATACTACGTAGAATCAGGTTTGTTAATTATTATGATTAGTCCTGTCTGCTTGGATAACCCTGCTTCTACTGTGGTATTAACAATCTTGACTACCCATGAGGTTCCTGCACAGTTTCTGAACACCCCTTTTCTATATTGAACAGAATGTGATGTGTATATTGATCTATATTATCTAATGAAGAGAGGGGAAGGATACCAAAGGAACATTCAAACTCATAAGAAGGGAGATAATTGACTCTTTTGATTAATACTACAAAAGAAAAATAATTAAACACCCTATGCATGTGAAACACAAAAGTGTTAGATCAGATTTGCCCTTCCTGAGTTAATAATTTGATGTGATAGGAAAAGCCCATGTTTGTAATAATTGTTTATGTATAAAAAGGCCCTATAAAGATTTTCAATTTATTTTTTTTTAAATTCTTTGTAAAAATCAATGGCAAACATATGATGTACTGTAGTGATGGCTAACATTTACCTATCCTGAAATCCATTTGAAGTATTGAAAGTTTTTTATAAAAAAAGTAAATAAATATTTAGTGTTGCAGTTTTTAAAATATTATAGTTTTAGTGTACATTAACATACAAATGTACAAATTATATATTTGAATATTTAACGAAACTCTTTACTATCAGACTATAAATTGTAATATTAACTCTTTTCTTTTCAGCGAACAGAAATCTGTGACCCAACAGAGCTTAAAAGATCTAAAAGTGAAGAAAGTGGAAGTTCTAGTGGGTCATGTAGTAGCTCGTGGTCAGAATCATCTGGAGTACGTGGTTTATCGGCATTTACACCATGGTCATCTCTGGCGTTGAAAGACGGAAAACTGCTTCATAATGCATCTATACTCAGAGAGAAGTAAGTTTATTCCAAAAAGAAAGGTCATGCAGCTTTAAAAAAATAAATGACCACTGTTTAATAAAATTTAAACTGCTAATATAACGTGTAGATGCCATATAGAATTGGTATCTACCTAGGGGATTGTACATGTATGTGGATTCATTTTATTTTTTCGTGAACACCAATTTTTTGGATATTTGAATAGTGATTTTGCCAAATTAAGTCTGCAAATAAGCGTATAGAAACTTAATACTTCATTAAACATTGAAATTAGTGGTTTACCTGTACTCATGAAAACCACAAAAATTGGTATCTCACGAATAATAATGAATTCATAGAACATATATTTTGAATTTAACTTGGTTATTCTGCTTGCATTTAATGGGCGTTTTCGCTTGACAATAAAAAAAGTGATCATGAACTTTAACTATTGCTATATACTAATTAACTATGCTATTTTCATATTTTATTAGTTAAAATGATTTTCTATGACGGTTTCATTGGTTGATGATGGTCGTTGCTATGGTTTTATTATCTCATTTGCTAGAGGTTTATTAATCCTTATATCCATCTTGAATGAACAGATTTATGATACATGTAGGTTAATCTCCTGATCATTATGGAATTAATGATTCCATCTGATCTTTACGTGTTGATGAAATCTTTGGAGTGTTTTCCCATTTTGGAATCAAAAATATCATGATCAGAAGTAACTTTTTATGCCTCCGCCGTAGCAGAGGGGGCATTTAGTTTTACCCTTGTTTACATTGAAAACCTCCACAAATTTTATTTCAAGAATTCTGATGACATGACTGACATGACAGTTTCTCTTGTGACCAGAATATTTAAAAGATATTTCTTTAAAATGTACATATTATATATCTCAACAATGAAAATAGAATCAATTATTTTAAGCTTCAAGAGTTTTCATTAATGCTTTTGTGAATTAAAGACAGAAATTAAAAGTGTTACAATGGTATTGGCCTGGAACTCTTTGTCAACGCACCACGTAACCTATTTCTACACATGCATCTTATTGAGAATAATGTCGGGGGTGATGATTGTTAATGTGTCACTATCACTTTAAATAAAATCTGGGCAATTGTTTTAATCTAAAAAAAAATTGACCTACTACCTTTTGAACTATTTTCATGTGTGTCTATGCTTAATCCTATAACTCCACCAACTAGCAAACATGAAAAAACATGACATTGACCCCATTTTTCAAATAAGCATGGAAAGAGTTCCTTTCATGAAGCAGGTTTGTTGTATGTATTATTTTCACCTATTGCTCCTTTTAATTATCATGACTTTAATAACAATGCTTTGGACTTACAAAGGTAGTGAAAGGTGCAAAATTTCCTCTTGCTACATGTACTCTTGAGCTCTCTGTACTATAGCTACTTTAGTATATTTTGTGTACGTTACACAATAAATACATGTAGGTAAGTGGCATCATTCTTTGGCAGCTTGAAACTACTAACACAAAAACTGCTGAATGCCTGAAGTCTCTACCTAGTGTGAAATCTGTATTTAAAAGTAGGATTCTGGCATTTTGAAGAAATCTGTGACTTATGCATGGATTCCTTCATGTAAAAACTGTGAAATACTGTTACCCATATGATAAAAAACTGTTATATATTGTTACCCAAATAAAAAAAACTGTGAATGATACCTTTATGGTAAAAATGTCATATACTGTTGTCCTAAAAAAAAAACTGTGATAATCAGATTTATACTGTAAAAAAAATTCTAAAATGATCCTTAATAAATTGTAATATTTTTAAATTATAAATTTCGTGATTTTAATAGACATTTGGTATAACCTTCAGTCCTTGTTCACAATAGTTAAAGATGTTTAAACCTTTTTCTTTTAAAACCTATTGGTTAGAAGGCCCTCATTTACTCTACCCTGAATATGCCCCTTTTGAAAAAAACCTCAAAGAGACGCTACACTTGGGTTTTTGACATACAGAGATAGTAATTTATAACACAACTTTTTTTTATAAGATAAAGCAACCATTTATTTTTAAAAAGCTGCTACTTACGTAACAACAGGTCGTTCATTCCTTTTGGAAAGAATTATGGTTAGTAAATTATTACTAAAACATCTCGGGCTCAATATATAATAATCAAATAATCAGTTAATATCTACATGTATAAATATTAAAAGACCAAAAAAATGGAATTATGTATACATTAAATGGTCAGACCAATTACCTGATAAACTTCATAGTTAGACAGTAATTATAATTAGATGATTTTGGCTGATTGTGCTGATTCTATCAACACCTGTGTGTATATTTTCAGCTTCCCAGGAATTCCTGCATACCTACAGTCTGGACCTCCTGTTTTACTGAATCCAGATCGAGTAGTACCTTCATCTGAATCATCGAGGTGAGTCAAAATAGATAATTTTATGTTCAGGTCAAAAAATATGTCAGTCTTTCCTGCAAACAGTAGTCACAGTTTGTAATTTGTACATGTACTTTTTTGATAGAGCATAAGTATATATATCTGTATCTGTTTTTTGTTAATTACAGTGCAAGTTTTTTATAATGTTTGGGAAAGCATCTGATTGGGAGGATTGTTGCAATATTTAATAACTTTAGTTCAAGTCTTACCCCATTCACTGTCTAGAAATGACAATGTAACTATTTAGTAGCTAAGTACATATCAGATTTGGCTAACATATGCTATTTTTTGGGTTTTTCATACCAACATATGTGGACATTGCCATTTCTGCTTATATACTTTGGAGATGATAGCTGGGGATCTGTCGACACATGCCTTCCTTGGAAGACTCCTGAACACATTTTATATTCTATTTAGTAATTTATGTTTTAATTGATAAAACTAAAGACTGAATACATAGTTGTGTATACTTTTAAAATGGCACAATAGATTTCGTCTAATACTCTAGGGTAAAACAAGTGTCTACTGTATTTAGAATAATACTTTTAAGCTTCTTACATAGAAAGCATTAATTTTTGGCCGACACAGGCACAGACTGATGACAATAACACTGTAAACTTAAAATTTAAATACTTATAAAATTTCATGAATGGTCATTCTGACAGGTTGAATTATTCTAAAGTTCAATAATGTCAGTTGTGAGGTGATCCATGACGAACCCTGTCTCGTAAATATACATGTCAGGTCAGGAAAATAATACACAATTTGACACGTCTTTTTCTACATAGTGAACTTAAAAATTTGAATGAACAATTTGCTGATGACAACTGGGAGACATTTGCCTTGATCTTACAATAAAAACAAAAAAGTTCAGGGGTTCAAATTAGTGTATGTCTGAGGACCAGGACCTGTATTTCCTGGGAGGGAACCTTTGATTTTTTTAATTACTAAAGTCACGGACCTTCTATCCTTTACATTGATGCTTTATACTGGACCTATGATTTTCTCAAGTAGGACCTTTCACTTGAAAATTCAAATGGTCCTGGCAGTGCATTAAGCAAAAGACCAAAATCCAAAACTTCATGAACTTGATGATAAAACATGTAAATGAAAATCACCATTTAAAATTTAGAATTAGACTCTGACATATTCTGAAATGATAGGTGTACATGCAGCACTTGTTAAATTAGAAATGCCCCATTAAAACTTGTTAAAAGTATGTTCAAAATTTATCATACTACATCAAAATATGTCAAAATTCATATTTTTTTATTTTCCTGACCCAGACAAACACAATTTGGGCTCAGTTTTCTGATTCTGCAAATGGTGTTTGCTGACATGACTACATGTACTCTTGATGGTTTCATTAACTAGTTCAATTGACATTCTGGAGCATTTTATAACAGATTAAAAATATTTTTTTTATCTTTTGTTTTTCTAATCAGTGCATGCATGTAAAGTTGAAGGTCGAGTGTACAAGGTGTGTTCAGTAGATTAATGATTTATGATCAGGCTATATATATTTTATGACCAGAAGATTAGGAAAGATAATAACTTAAATAGAATAATTCTTTAAAAAATGTTATGTTGATTGCTTTGAAACAGTTTTTAATAGGTAATTTTCTATGTTTATGGTTCACCATAAATCTTTTAAGAGATAATTAGCTGATTTATGAGAATAATATAAAAATAAGGAAATGTAGTGTGATTGTCAATGAGACAACAATCCCTCAAGGATAGTAATGCACTGATAATGAAATTGAATGAATAAGTTTAACACTTCTTAAAAATCTTTGAGAGTTTTAAATTTATTTTTTGTACAATTTTCGAAGTTTTCTATGGTTTATCATCAATTTCATTTTATACATTCTGTAAAAAGCAATGTGGGAATTGGAAGTGCTTGGAACAGGGCTATATTGGTTTAAAAGTGTCAAAATTATATTTCTCATTAAAATTATAATGTATTTAAAGAAGATTTTTTGAAAGAAGAAAATGTGGAGCAGAATTTTGGCATTTCTGTCACAAAATATACTTGTAAAACTAAAATACCTCTCAGCATTCAAAGAATGAAAAACTTAATAATTTTTTGGAGACTTCTTTCATGTTTTGACAAGGCATGACAAAGATTAAATTTTTTTCACATTTTTAATCTTAAAAAATTTGTTACAATTTCTTATATATTTCTGATGGTAATTGGTCAAGTCAGACATTCAACTTTCATCTCAGGTTAAATTGTATTGTGTATTCTCTTTACAATCATCATCGTCATATTTTAAACAATGCATAATGAGAATAAAAAAAAAACAACAGATGAAATAAATGTCAAACCTACATATCAGGAGAAAATTTAATATTCATGCATGTTCATGTATAAATTCAAGTGATTGTATACACAATAAGTTGGTTACTAGTAAATTTAAGACCTGTCTAGAAAATTTTCCCATACTAGTCCGATTATTTATTTAACCTCCCATCCTATAAGGTATGGTTGTTAAAGTACAACTTGGTTATGAAGGTCATTTTAGACCATGGAGGTCATTTTACCATTAAAAAAGTACAAAGGTTGAAAAAAGTCACTATTTGATGTGTAAAACTTTTTTTCTTTTTTGAGGGGAGGAGGGGTTCAAGATGAGTGTTGAAAGACAAGTAAAGGAGGTTATTAAAGAATACTGCAAAAAAGAATCCCCCTAACATGAGAAATGGCCCGTGTCCTGGCACACTATTGAATTGCACTCTCAAAATTAAGGAAGGACTTAATCCAGAAGTTATGTCTGTTGGTCAAGCTTGTTGTTCATTTCCATAGCTGCCAATGGATCAATATGTAGAAACTCGATCAGAGTGACCTAGGGAGCATTACATAATTTAAAATCCATTGATTGTGGACTTTGTACTTAAACCAAACAATAATGATTAATGGTCTGATGGCTATAAGTGAATTATTGAATATCAATAAAAGAATTTATGACCAAGCAGGTGTGTGTCCAAGGAATGGTCAGTGTTGTTGGATATGGCTTGTACTATAAGATATAGTTGAAGACCAAATTAAAAGTTATGTCTACTTTAACCTACATTACTTTTACAAACTTTGTATGGGCAAAATATAACGTGATAACTTTTGTTTTAAATTGACCCTTCATTCTACATATACTGACAGACAATTTTTAAAAAAGCAAGAGTTTGAACCTCAGTTAATATAATGTATGAATCCTCTCTAGACAATTAGAAAAGTTCCATATGTAATAATTACTGACAAATAGGAGATATCACCATTTTCACCAGCCTTTTCAAAATATTTATATTATTAAAGTATCTAATTAAGCTCAACAATTTTGTTATACATGTATCTGCAAATTTGTGTTAGCTAATTTTTGTTCTTCCCTCAACAGGAATTGAACCCATGAGTCTGTGATATCTTGGCAACCTCCACCTGCACAAATATATATATTAAAAGAAAAATCAGCATTTTTAAGAAGACAATTATAATATACCTTCTATATCCAATTTGCAAAAAAACTAATTAAGAATAATGAGTTTAAAATTGTAAATGTTGTATTCTAAAGAGAGGCCTGTGTAGCATTGTAAGTCCATAATGAATTATTTCTTATTTTCAGATATGAAAGAGGTTTTGCTCCTAATGTATCCTTGGCTCCTGCATCCAAACACAAAGATGATGTTGATGATATCAGTGATGATGAGGAAGACAAGGAACCAGTCAAATCAGAAACTGAAAGGTCATCCAGGTCACCAGCTTCAAGAGAATGGGATCTCCCAAGTGAATCTGATGACTCTCTTCACCTTTCAGATGGTATTAATTTAAATTATTTTTTTGGGGGGGGATGACTTCTGATAAAAAGTTGTAAGCAACCATATAAGAATATTTGTGTTAAGGGTTTTGTTCCTATTACCCTAAACAGATTGGCACATCATTTCTGAGATATATATTGATTGATTGATTGATTCGTATTTAATGCCACTTTCAACACTATTGTGCTATTTCATGGCAGTCAGTTTTGTTGGTGGAGGAAGCCAAAGAGAACCACCGACCTTCAGTAGGAAAACTGACAATCCTAGTCAATTAAGATTGGAGTCGAGTGCACCTGCCCCATGTGGGATTGGAACTCACAACCTCAGTGTCGAGATGTATTTCGATAAAATAAGTTAGTGGTAAATATACCTTATATGTTGGTGACAAGGTTTTGAAGAAATCCTCACAAAAAACATAAGGGTCAAAGTTTGGGTGGATAGCGAAACCCTAGACTTACTTCAAAATTTGGATGGGGGAACACACATTTCTTCTACCAGTATCCACATAACTATTTATAAAAAAGAATGAGCAGTAACTCTTTATTTTATTTTCTGATTAACAGAAGTAATAATTTCTTTTCTGATAAAACCATGTACATTCAACATTGAATATGGAGGTTTGATGTTAAAAATGCATTGTAAAAGAATCAAGTACATTTGCACTAAAATTCTAAATATACTGTGGATTCATTTATTTACGTGGGTACCAATTTACGAGGATTAAGGAAAATTGGCATGTTCGTGGATATTTAATTTCGTGGTCTTGCCTAAGTCTGCATACAAGCCTATATAAAATTTGGCATTCGTTGAACATTTAATTTCGTGGTTCACCTGTACCCACAGTAATACAGTTTCAGACTATTTTAAAAAATTGTTTGTCAAAGCTTTGTGAGAAACCTTATATGTGGCAGACAGTGCAATTAAAACCTGATACACGAATTTGATAAAACTAGATTTATAACAGATAAAGTTAATCCTTTGTTTACATATTGACCTTAAATGTTAATGTTTCAGCTTATGATGTTTCGATGTTTCAGTCATCATTTCATAAAAACAATAATAAAACATAGATTTAAGCATTAACAAAACATCAGCTTTAATGAAAAATTAAGGAAAATTTTCCTCATTTTCATCTCCACTTTTTCCCCCTCTTTCCTCAGAATGTACAAATAAGGAGATGTTGTATCATTGCCAATGAGAGAACTATCCATCAGTGACCAAAGGATGAGGATGTTAACAACTGTAGAAGACTGTATGGCCTTCAACAATGAGCAGAACCCATACTGTATAATATTAGGCTCTGGCATGAAAAAAGGTGAAACAGTAAACAAGATTTTCCTGGGGTTCTTTTCTCCTGAATATATTTGACCTTTGTTAAAATTTCAAGTGTATTTATTTTAATGGCATCTTTCTATCTTCTAGGAGAAGAGACCGCTGCATCTTCTCCAGATCTGAAAGCTTCCTTAGAGGAAGAGTTACAGTTAGTACAATGCATGCTGGACAAAACATCATTGAGTCAGGAAGAAAAAGATAATTTCCTGGTCAAACTTGGAAAAGTTCATTCAAAGAGGGACGAGCAGTTCAATCAGATGGTCAGGATGAACAGTACTTTAAGAAAGGTGAGTGATATATTTGAAGGAAAAATCCAGATGCTCTCGAAGGCAAAGTCCAGAGGGGGGTTACAAAATATTTAGGAAAAGTAGAAAACTTGAAAGGGAACATCATTAAAAAAATTTCATGTGCCACATGACCAATATTCAAAATTGGGTCAAAAATATTGACTGACTATTAACCTACTGGCAATAAGATACATGACATTTTATAATTAGGCTGTCAAAACTTTGAGACATTGTTTTGAAGACTATTATAATACATTTACATGTACATGATGATTTACATGATATTATGGAGTGCATTTTTTTAAATGTCTCATTTTTTATTCAAATGAGGTTATCCAGGAAGGAACACTGACTAGTAAACCACATAACATATGAATTGTATAAGATCAGGGTGTGTCACAGTCATACATCAACCCACCACACGACTAAAACCAAAAGTATCAAACAGTTCAATGCACTGTCTTCATCAGTAGCTCTAGTTCTAAATCATCCTGAGCCAAGAAAGTGTGTGAATATTTAAGAGAGACAAAAAGCGTTGGGTGCAGCAAAAATGTTCAACATTCGGTATGTGCCTGTGCCAAGTAAATTGTTGTTTTCTTTTTCGGGGCCTTTTATAGCTTGCTATGTGGTATGGGTTTTGCTCATTGTTGAAGTCCTTATGGTGACCTGTAAGTTCTATCTTCTATGTCAAATTGTCTATGAAAATTCTATCAATTGATAATATTTTTTACTTTGACCTTTAAACTTTGCATGTAAAATGGTTGCTGTAACCTAATTTTTTTATGTTTACAGGAGCTTGAGGGCTTGAAGAAAACAATGAAAGAGAAACTAGACAAAATGGTAGAAAAAAATGAAAAACTAACTAAACAATTAGAAAGAACAAGGATTGAAACAGAATGTCGATTAGAGGAAGCTAATGAGGATAAGGACAAACTGGTCAAGGAGATCAAAAGGTTACAAGGTCATGAAGAAGTTGAGGTAAGATACTTGTAAATATGTTATAGAATCTTACTTCTCTTTCTTAAAGTCGGAAATTAGTCTTTCATACTTTGGTTAGGGAAACCAACTTTTTGGCAAAAGTGAAAAAAATGCTCAAAAAATCTTGACATTAACATTAAGATATGAGCCAAAACCAAGATATTACCAAAAATAGTCTTTGGTAAAAGATGTTATACAAAGATATAAACATAGTTTAAATTTTTTTAGATAAGGTATGCTCATTAATTTTTATGCCCCCGCCGTAGCGGAGGGGGCATTAAGTTTTATCCTTGTCCGTCTGTACGTAAGTCCGGAAGTCCCAAAGTTGGTTTCTGTTCTCTAACTTTAGTTTGCTTCAACCAAATGTTTTGAAACTTATACAAAATGCTTATTACCACAAAACACAGATCAAGTTTGAATTTTGGTGGCGTCACTTTAACTGTTTTAGAGTTATGCCCCTTTACAATTGGAAAAATTGCTGAATTTTTTGTTTCCGTTCTCTAACTTTAGTTTCCCTCAACCAAATGTTATGAAACTTATACATAATGCTTATTACCACAAAATATAGATCAAGATGGAATTTTGGTGGTATCGCTTTTACTGGTCTAGAGTTATGCCCCTTTATAACTTTTATATGATATGCAAGCAGGGGCATCATCTGTGTCCCATGGTCACATTCCCCATTTATTGTTTTTAAGTGTCCAGTTTATATCATCCTATCTATTTCTCAATATAACTAATATGATTTTGAAAGGATTGAAGAATTCTACCATTTTGCAATTTCAGGGGTAAAATGATTGTTACTTATTATACCTTCTCCTGTCCCTCCTGATTGAGTCATTAATCTAAAGTACTTTTCACTGCCTTTGTGCTGTGACAAACATAAATAAGAAAACATTAGATAATTTATGGGAAAGAAACCATGTAAGTAGTTGGAAAAAAAGTATTTTTCAAGTCCTTAAACTTTACTCTTTCAAAGAGCAGGTGAATAACCTATTGTTAAATACCCACTTTGTTTCCCAGAAAAGAAGTTTGTTTTTTAAGTTTGCAGCCAGGTAGCACTAAGTGCAAACCTTGAATGGTAAGCCGAGGTAGTTGTTAGATTATTGTTCATGTGTAGAAGACCTAAAGGGTCTTTAAAAAAAAAGAAAAAAGTGATTCATTGTAAAAATATTGAGGAAGATAGTAATTGTTAATCTCATCCCCACCCAGAAAGTGTTACGTTGTCATGAAGATATATATATTTAAATTTTTGAACATTTTTACAATAACAACACTTAAGAATCACAATAGGAAGTTGTTAATAATAGACTGGTGTTCCTCATCTGTCCTTAAATTAAATCGTTCAGTGACCTGAAATGATTACTGGTGACATCATCCGTTAATAAGGGGTTCTTATTCGGTCAATAACAGTAAAGTAAAAGATTAGTTTGTTAAATATTGTATGCCTTAAAAAATTTTAAAAATTACAAGTGATAGAGTACATACTTTTTTCACCAGTCTCCCTTTTTCCGAATAAAATCAGAATTTTCAATTTTCCCTTTGTTTTGAGTTAATTTGACCTGATGACAGAATTTGTTTAGTTGCATGCATTTCTGAAATAAATTTCATAAAAATAAGATCAATGATTAAATGTATTGAATGTTGAGTTTTTAATGTTCAATAATCGTTTTAATGCATGTAAATGAATACGATAAAACACTAAAAGCTCGTATGAAAATGGTTATCTGTTCACCACATTTTTAGACATCTGTGCTTCAGAATCCTAACATCTTCAAATATATAAAAAGGATGGGATGGAATTTGTAAAAAAAACTTTTGTTATATCACCAAGAAATAGGTTTCTAGATCAGTAACTGCTAGGCTATTACACTAGTTAATTTGCTTCGTGGCACTAGAGGACCCCCAACTGTGATCCTAGGTAAGGTAATGAATATGAACATCTTACTCTAATGAACTTAAATAAATTGATCACATAGTTACAATCCATCATAACCTGCAATATTGCCTGATCAGCAATTTGTTAAGTTCTCTGTCTGCTTGCTTATTTCTGATATGATTGATTGATTGTTTGTGTTTAATGCCACTTCAGCACTCTTGGCTATTTCATGTTGAAGGAAACCACAGAGTATCAGGAGAGAACCATTGAACTTCAGCATGAAAACTAGCAATCATAGTCAATTCAGATCAAGGCCCCCTTATTACTGATACATGCACTTTTATTACTGGTAATGGGACCTTTGAGTAAAAGGATATTTTGTCCAATAAAAATATTTGCAAAGATGCTTTTTCTTTTGATTTGCATTGTTGGTTAAAGCTAAAAATATCTCCATTTATTCATATTTACATGAGAGATAGACAAATCCATTAAAATAATATAGAGAATCATGCAAGCATGGCAGAGGGTTAACATAGAGATTACTTTTAAAAAATATAAACCTGCATTCACGGACACATGACCTGATTTCTTTAAAAAAGAGAAAAATTTAATTCTAAATGATGTTTATGTCAGCTGATGAAAGAAATAATGATTTAACTTATTAAATGTGGAGATTATGTATCCACCTGAGGTATCCACACTGCATGCTGAGAGTAGAAACAGTTTGAAGTGATATATTTTGAGAGTAGAAATAGTTTGAAGTGATACAAATGTTATGTAACTTATACACAATGCTTATTACCACAAAACACAGATCAAGTTTGAATTTTGGTGGCCTCACTTTTACTGTTCTAGAGTTATGCCCCTTTACAAATTGAAAAATTGCCGAATTTTTTCGTTTCCATTCTCTAACTTTAGTTTGCCTCAAGTAGATGTTATGAAACTAAATATATGCAATGCTTATTACCACAAAACATGGATCAAGTTTTAATTTTGGTGGCCTCACTTTTACTGTTCTAGAGTTTTGCCCCTTTACGGATGTAAAAATTGCCGAATTTTTTGTTTTTGTTCTCTTACTTGAGTTTGCCTCAAGCAAATGTAATGAAACTTATACACAAGCTTATTACCACAAAACACAGATTTAGTTCAAATTTAGGTAGTGTCACTTTTACCGTTGTTGAGTTATATCTCTTCATAATCTTATATGTAGTGGGGGCATCATCTGTGTGTAATGGACACATTCCCCATTTATTTTATATTAAATTTCATAAGTTTATAGGCATGCCAAGCTGTTCATTACTTATCTTATTAATTAATTAAACATGTTCTGTTAAACTCAAGTGTGACTTTGTAATATATTATTAAAAGGAGCAATGAACTTGACACTGCCAGCTGGCTCCATTGAGTATGGTTGTGGGTGGGGTTAAGAAAAGGGGGTCACATCAAGTATACAAGGACATTATGGTTTTTGCTGGAAGACCTTTTTAAAGAAAATCATAATTTTATTAAACGGCCTGCGAAAAATCTTGTTTATTTAAAAGATAAACTTTTATACTGAAAATTTACTGGCGTGTAAAATCTGTATATATATAGGTAAAGCATACCCAAATGTTCCTCTTGTCTGTGTAAAATTTGCTAGTTTTTGTATTGTTCAGTCTGTCTTATTGTTGTTATCAGGATTGATGTGTCACTTATTTATCAAGTACTGGTTGACCTATGATTTGGTCTATGTCTTTTGTATAGGTTGTTTTCAGAAGCAGGATTTAAAACATATGTACATAACAAGCTGGATGATTTATGTTGTTATGAAAGATGTATGTTTCCATAAAAGGATTTCTTGATGTTTATTGTCATTTTTTATGGTAATAAGCAACGAAAATAATACATTGTAGTTGTTTGAGTGTTAAATGGTTCGTCTTTAAGATATATATTTATAAACAAAAAGTTTATATCTGTCCATGTTTCTATTTCCTATAGGTCAGAATTAAGATATAGACAAAATATTTAAAGGCGTTTCTGATCGGATACTTAAGAACAATAGGATGCTGTTAGGATTTTTGTTATTACATTTTTTTTGTTCTGAAAAATGAAACACTTAATAGGTTCTTGATTTAATTCTGTGTTATTCGGGCCTAGCAAATTTAATGAGGTCAGAATATTTATTTCCATCTTAAAGGCAGCAAGATTATGTATTTTCTCTCAGACTCCTCCTCCTCCCCTAAAATCAAATGGTCTTACCCTTCTAGTAATTAAACTTTTATGATACAGGTCACTTTTTTGTAGGATTCATGAATTTCTTCAAACAAAAAGAGCAGTAAAAGTAAAGTCCATAATTTGATTCTTTTGAAATACAAAATATACTGGTAATAGCATAATAATCAGGTTGGTAATTGTCCCAAGAAGGGTTAAAATTGCAAGAGAAATTGTAAGACATAGTTTTGACTGTAGTTATGCTTTTTTGGTGTTTTCAAATAATTAATTGATGTAGTTGAACAAAATAAAATATTATTTGGGTAATCTTTGCAAGAAAATGGCAACAGTTGAATACATTTTAAACTAAAATATGTTGTATGAATGAAAAAAATCCATTTAGAAGAACTACATATGTATATGTTTTCAAGCTCAGACATTTCCTTCTCAGTTCTTGTTCTTTTTTTAAACACAAACTGGCAGAAGAACCTATTATGGTTAACCACAATTTCTCCTATCATTCATGAACTTCAAAGGAACAAATACCAAGCAACTAAAGTAGCCAGAGTAACCATGTATTGGTCTAGACATGTAAATACTGATCCCCATTGGTCACCCCTGACTGGTCTCCTTATCTACATAGTAGTAAAATGTTGTTTATATATTATCAAGGCCATTTACCTGTGTATCTTGCCAGAAACAACACCTGTGTAGAATATTTGTGGAATCTGTAACAAAATTACTATCATTGTTGAATTCTTTGTTACCCCTCAAGCTCATGACTGCATTTTGAACATGTAAAAAGCATAATCACATGTGCATGTACTAGGCCAAATAAAAAAACATACTTGTGGATCTTGTTTCCGAAGGGTAAAAGTGGGGTCTGTAGATTAGATAATTTATCTGATTTATTTCAAATACGGTACTGCAG